GTTAGGGCATCTCTGATTCTCTGATTCTCTGATTCCTTGAAGCGCAGAGCAGTGAATTTCGAAGATGAGTCGCGGGGCAGCAGCCGGACCCAAGGGAAAGAAGAAGGCAGTGTCATTCACCATCGACTGCACGAAGCCGGTGGAGGATAAGATCATGGATATCGCCTCACTGGAGAAGTTCCTTCAGGAGAAGATCAAGGTCGGCGGCAAGGCTGGTGCGCTAGGTGACACCATCACCGTCACCCGCGATAAGAGCAAGATCACCGTCACCTCCGAGAGTGATTTCTCCAAGCGGTATGCTTTCTTTTCACTATGTTCTCGATCTTACGATCTGTTATTTTTTTAGCTATTGATTTCCCACGACGAACTGTTTGTTAAGCTAAGTCTGAATTCTAGATCTGGTTAATCTTCTAATTAGCATTGGTGCTTTATCTTGTTATTTCATAATTTAGATAAAATAGAGTTTTGGGTAACTTTACTCCTTGTTGTAATTTGTTGATTCTCCATAAAAATTGGTGCTTGTTACAGTATATGATTTTGTCAAGGGGTTGTTTTAAAATTTTTGTGCTATGTAGCAGTCATTGTGATTTAAGGTCAATGATGATAATTTCGAAGGCTTGTTTCTCAGAACATTCGCAGTGGCCACCTAAGAGCTTTCGCCTTAGCCGGGCTTGAGAGCTTGTGCTGCTTTGATCCTTCCTTGGATGTCTGAGACCTTAATGCCATTCCTACTTTTTGGCAAAAAAATTGAAATTCCTATTTTAAGGGCGAAATGAAAGGCATTATGGTCTTGTGTAGATTAGAACTTTGGTTGCACTGTTAAGTTCCCTTCTGGTTAATAATTTTGGTTTTGAATCTTTGATAATTTCAGGTACCTTAAGTACTTGACTAAGAAGTATTTGAAGAAGCACAATGTGCGTGATTGGCTTCGGGTTATTGCATCCAACAAGGACCGTAGTGTTTATGAATTGCGCTACTTCAACATTGCTGAGAATGAGGGAGAAGAGGAGGACTGAAGATTCAGTTCAGTACTTTGTCAAATTACCTAGTTTCTTGTTTATCAGTCCCAAAGACTTGCCCTTTTTTTTTCAGCTGTGATACTTGTGAACTTCTTTGTGTTGCTCTTCGACCTTGGTAGTTTATGTTCTATCAAATTTTGGTTGCTGACAGTTAGATATCTGCTTAACGTATTTGATACTATTATAAAGGCACAAATTTCTTCCTAAAGTTGGTTTTGGCATTGCCTTTCGTCTCTCCTTAATGGTGTGTGGCCTCCCTCCCTACTCTAGTCTTGGTAGCCATTTGCCATATGAATATCACTGTTTTGATGGTTTTCAATCCTTTCTTTGATGTAAAGACAGCATTAGGTCCTGAGATCATTTACATTACCTGTAGTCTAGGTATGGGGAGTTGGTCGCAACTCTTTACCAAATTGGGTAACTATAACAGTCGGAGCCTGCTGGAGCCTGCTGAACCCTGCAACTACTGCAGTCTCGTAGATAGGTTCTTCAGTTTTTCACTATGTTGTCTTCTCTACTGAGAAAACTGCAGACTGTCTAATCTAAAATCCAAATCCTAATCTCCGGTGGGAAATTCATTGCCAATTTCTAATCCGGCGAATCGAACATACAAAATCCTGCCTACGGCAGGTTTTCTGCTTCTCATTTCAAATGCCTCCCGCCATTCAAAACAAATGATGTTACCTTCCAAAAAACTCATTTCTCTCGTGCACCCAACTCTTCATCTGGCTCACCCGACGCTTGAATCCTTCATCTGGAACACAGTCATACGAGCCCATGTCTTTGCCATTGCACGACCCGCGGTCCATTCTCCCATTTGCATCTACCTCGGCATGCGTTACCATGGTGTGGCCCCCGATCTCTACAGCTTCCCATTTCTTCTCCAGTCTTTTGATTCCCCGTTTCACCTTCATTCAGGTAAACAAATCCACGCCCAAATTTTCCTCTTTGGCCTTGCGGATGACCCTTTTGTGCAAACGTCTCTCATCAATATGTACTCGTCTTGTGACAACTTGAATGTTGCTCGTCAGGTATTTGATGAGATTCCAAAGCCTGATTTACCATCTTGGAATTCAATGGTTAATGCTTACATGAAAGTGGGGTTAATTGGTAGGGCACGGAATCTGTTTGATAAAATGCCTGAGAAAAATGTTGTATCATGGAGTTGTATGATAAATGGGTGTGTAAGGTGTGGGGAATATAAAGAAGCACTTGCTCTGTTCCGTGAGATGCAAATGTTGACAGTGAACCATGTTAAGCCTAATGAGTTTACCATGTCTGGTGTTCTTTCGGCTTGTGGGCGATTGGGTGCTCTTGAGCAAGGGAAATGGGCTCATTCTTATATTGACAGATATGGGATGGAAGTCGATGTTGTTTTGGGAACTGCTTTGATAGACATGTATGCTAAATGTGGGAGTATTGAAGAGGCAAGGAGAGTGTTTATAAAATTAGGTCCTAATAAAGATGTGAAGG